GATCTCTACGTTAAATCTGAAGACGTTTTGTTTGCTTACATTTTGGTGTTTTTCGATCTTTGTTTGAAGTCTGAAGATGTTTTCTTCGCTTTCATCTTGGTGATTCTCGATCTCTGTTTCAAGTCTGGCCACTTGGTTTTCGTTTTTGTTTTGAATCGTGAACAGTGTTGTTAAAATTGTTTCCAATTTCATTTTGCTTTCATCTTGTATTTCCAAGAGCTGAGCTGTAAGTTCTTCTACTTGCTTTTTGCTTTCATTTTTAAGCGTCATGAATCTTGACACTTGTTTGTCGTGTTTACTTTGAAGTGTTTTGAACTCTGCCTTAAATATGTCCGATTTCACTTTGTTGTCATCTTGCAGTTCCAAAAGCTTAGCTTTAACTTCTTTGGCTTGTTTTTCGCTTTCATTGTTAAGTGTCATGAGTCTTGAAACTTGTTTATCGTTTTCATTTTGAAGAGTTATGAACCCTGCTTTAATCATGTCCAATCTGACTTTGTTTTCATCTTTGAGTTCCAAGAGCTGAGCTGTAACTTCTTCTAATTGCTGTTTGCTTTCATCTTTTAGGGTCAAGAGTTGATTCGTCGTAATGGCAAGATGCTCTACCAAGTTGTTTTTGTAATGATCACTTAAAAATTTTCTTGGTCCCTTGAAATAAAAAGAAATCATCTGTAATGATAAAACACCAGTTGGTAAGTCGCATCACGACTTACGGCTGAAAATTTGGCTTTTTCCTTACGCCTCACGGTTAATTTTTTCTCATTTTCACGACTCACGGCTAATTTTTCACGGCTAATTTTTTCACATTTTCACGATTCACGGCTCACTTTTAACCCCATTGAGACACCTATACAAAAATGACTGGGAACGAGATTCTAAATTTGATCTAGTTATTAAGAAACTCGCGACTTTTCATCTCAGGTTCAGTGACCACGAACAAAGCACGTAGGGAAACGAACGAAAAATCCTACTGGATTCATGCATTTTACCGATGTCAATCATAGACATTTCCATGACTATCATTGGATAGCTCCTCCAACATGAATTGGTTTTCTCGAATATCGACAAAACTAGCTAAGAATGGTCAAAGCGTTTCCAAATTCTTTGCGTTGGAAGTGATAATTCTTAAAGGGAGACTGTCAATGGATGACATGCGCAGTAACAGTCTCACCTCTAACGGACTTTGAAAGTATAACCTTCGAGGTAAATCATTTTGTGGTGCTTTTGACACACTTTGGAATATTCTAGATCTGTTTACGTTTACGATCTGATTTATGTCGCGCCAACTTGGAGTCATAAACTTGAAAACACTAGCCTAGTGTTTTCAAGTTTACTCGCGCATGTCATCCATTGACAGTGTCCCTTTAATCGGAGGGGGCTAAGTATTTCCGAAATTGCTATAGTACTTTGTGTATTAGCTGTGAAGCATTCGTTTCGAAAATACAGAGACTTAACACAAATACACTTGTTGAACGTCTAATAATCAAAATCTGCGGCTATATGTAAACTGAAATACCAACATGAGTCGATATAGAGCATTCACTAATTACTGTTAGAAAGGATATAAAATGATGAAATACAAATAATATTACCTGTCAAAGACCGATGTTTTGACTTTCTTCTAGGTGGTTCACTGACACGAAAGTGTATTTGAAGTCTCTGTATTTTCAAAACGAATGCTGGCACTAACACACAAAGTACTAGAAGCAATTTCGAAAATACTTAGGCCCCTCCATTTAAGAATTATCACTCTCCAACGAAACTAGAATTTGAAAACGCTTTGACCATTCTTGGCTACTTTTGTCAATATTCGAGAAAACCAATACGCCTTTATCATGCTTCCGCCATATTGAAATTACGTCATGGAATTTTTACATCAAAATGAGGCATTGCGTGGTTATCTCAGCTGGTCAATGAAGCGGACATGCCGAACAGGGATCATTGTTCAGTGCCTTTGTGTCAAAATAATCGATCAAAAAAGACACCTGAAGTGACCTTTCCATTCCCCAAGGACAAAAGCACTTAAGATGCAATGGATTATCAAGATAAAGCGCGATATTGGTCGACATTTTGCTGTAAGTTGCAATAATTAATTTATGGACGTGTTATTCCTTTAAATGTAGCAGGAAGTATAAACCAAATCTGGACTGTTGCTTGATTGTTAGCCAACCTCTAAGGGCCTCTCTTTCATTACTAGAGAGTAAACAACATTCAGTTACACTATTTTGTTTTCAAACTTCTTTATTCAAATCAAATGACCAACTTGCAGCCCACTTGGCATTTAATTTTTAAAATAAAGGACGTTGAAAAACAAGATATTACAACCATTAAAAGTAACTACAAACCAGAAAACAAATATTTGATTTAACAATATTGTAATAATACTGTTTATCATTAAACAACAGATCTACAGCCTTTACAGAAGTCCTATGTAAAATGATGGTACTCAAGTACGAAAGAGCAAGGCATAGTGTTAAGCAAGAAAGTGGTTACACAATGCTGTTGAAATTACTTATTACATCTCTTCTAGTTGAGATATATCAAAAATGAAATATAGTAACAAAACAACACGTGTTGAGATGTCTCAATTTTCCTTATGGGCCTCTTCATGTTTCCTCATACTGCGGAAACATTTTGCTTTCATTGAAGCTCCGATATCACCAATAAGGCAAAAGGGAACTTTAAATTTATGTAAGTTTGTATTTAGCTAGACTAGTCTTATGCTTTTCCGAGTTTAAAACTACAGGCTCACAGCATCGTGACTATCACATTTAACTTTATCAGTTTTAATAGCGAACTGCTTACCTTCGATTTCGTGAATAAAGTCTTCAAAAAAGAACTTATAGCCTCTAGTCAATGATGCCTTTATCGGTAGATTTGCATTTGAAAAAGATTCAATTAAAGAATTGCAGAATCTCGGCATAAAAGTGGTTTTTGTGCCAAAAATTGTTACCACACTCGTACAAGCATTGGATGACGCCATTTTGATGGTTGGTTGCCACGCAATGCCTCGTTTTGATGTAAAAATTCCATTACGTAATTTCAATATGGCGGCCGCGATTAAGGCGAATTCATCATTTTGGAGGAGGAGCTATCCCTTGGTACTCATGGAAATGTCTAATATAAAAAAAGGCGCTTAAAAAGCGCATGTGATTACTCCAAAAACTGTTGTTATGAATATTTTGAGATTTTAATATTATGCTGTGTGCAAGAATGAATATTTAAGTAATTTAAGTTGACGATCTGATTTGGGAATTGCTGCAAATATGTTGGTGTCAGGGCAGACAGGTTTAAAGTCTTGGGACGGGTGACAGTTAACTGATGACATGTTATACCTACTAAAATTACAATTACGTTTAAAGAGTGGGAGAAAGTAGAGTGCTCGCACTTAAAGCGTGAAACAAATAGTACTAATTACTAGTAAATAGTGTTGATTATACAATAGGAAACAAAGAAATTTGTATAATTTATCACCTATTTTGTAGTATTTATATTAAAGCGTGAAACAAATTGTACTAATTACTACTAAATAGTGTTGATTATACAATAGGGTATTGAATTTGACTATTCAAATTGAATATTCTTAATGGTTCAAGGTCCAATACCTTGTCTGGCAAACAATCATGTCTTCAATAATTCTATTAAGGAGTTACTGAATAAAGTGACAATGACATCTGGGATGCACTAATAGTATCATGGACTAACATTTGACAGTACAACTGTTGTTGTTTTTTTTTTTTTTGCACAATAGGAATGAGCCTATTTTTTTCTGTGAAAATCTTGCATGTAATAGTTGTATGTGCTTGATGTGTTCCTGATAGCTGTTCAAAGGGTCATTTTCCTCAATTGCAGAGCTATTCTTGGTAGTATTAATACATATACCTGAAAAATTAAGGAAACAGTTATTAATTTACACAAAGTTATCAGAAATATGAATCAGTGAGGGTAGAGTGCTTATGTCCATCAGAGTAGATAACTTGCATCACTTGCATCAATAAAGTAGTTTCAATTTAATTGTGAAAGGTTTTTGATAGTTGTTATTACTTACTCTTTATGATATTATTTTATTCTGAACCAACAAATACTATTAAGTGAATACTTGTTCTTATTTGCAAATGGTAATGTCTTAATCAGCTGTTATATGATTTAAGCTAAAAGGTTTTTTTAAACTTAAAACTTAGTTCTTATAATTAGACTCCCTGTTTTGGTTGATATATCCTCAGGAGGTTGATTTAACCCATAATAGGGTTTAGTCACTTTGTATTGATTCGTTTTTGGCAGTTATTAGTTATTTTTTGGCACCTTTTGGTTTTCTTTTTGTTTGTCTGCCATTAGAAACAGAAGTGTTTCGATTGACATTCGTAATATAAACAATCGCTATCGATCGTGGATTTATCCTGTTATTCGGACATAAAGATCGGACTAAATTGTGAAAAACATTTAAAAAAACTTTGATCAATACAGTCAATACTTTGATAGATAAAGAGAGATAAAGAATATTTATAAAAAGCAAAATTTACTTTACTTACCAACGCAAGTTATAAACCTGCACGACGACGAAGGTGAGCATGTGGAAATCTTGACTCCTGAGCCAGTGTTTTTTTTTTTGTCAGCGTCGTTGACTAGTTGCCAAGGCAATGCAACGTCATGAGTGAGACAATCACGTGACCTTACTTACTAACAAACCGATAACAAAGTGGTTACCCGTCTTATAGACGGAGTAACCACAAAAATTAGGTAACACCTAATAGCGGAGCTCCAATAGCAATATAGAAGCTGAAAATGATTATCTAGTACTGCTATTTCAAAGGTAGATGCTCTGTTCCAAGGAATGTGAGCTACAACAGTTTTGTTGACATGCCGAACAAGTATTATAAAGAGTATGTTTATGAGAATTTAGTTCGTACTAATATTGACTTCGGTAGATTTTGTTCCGTTGGATGAAGTCTAAAATTATAATCTATAAAGGTCAATTGATTAAAAGTAAACGAAAGTTTCTCGGCAAAAAGTAGTCTACATAAGCTTACAATAATCAACATTCTTTCAATAATCGATGTTTGAACCCGGACTACTCGAGCTTCACATATCACAGAAAACTGTATACAAAAATATATTTTTTACCTTCATTATCGAACTTCCAATAAATTATCGTTCAAAGTTCATCTTCAACAGAATCATCAGGGTCTTAATGGGGAGGGGGGGTCTCAATGTCGGTAGTCAGTTAAAATTTCAAGCATTTGTCGCTAGTCAGTTAAAATTCTAGGCATTTGTCGGTAGTCGGTTATTTAAAAAAAGTTGATAAACACTAAGTTTAAATGCATCTAAAACGGTGCTTTGTACCAACAGAATTCTTTCTAAAATGCCAACAATTGAATCCTTGAGTCTTGATTGGTCAATTGGATGCCCTTCAAAGTTTTAGAGTGGCTCATTACAACTTCAAGAAGCCAATCCGAAGCAAAATTTATTTTTTCCGCGGAAAATTTCGAATGTAGTTGCTAGAAAAATAAAAAAAATCTTGTATTCACGGAGCTAACATCTTTGAATATTGGAAAATTTCGCCAGTCAGTAAATTTGTTAATGTCAATAGTCAGCAAATTTTGTTCAAATTTGTCGCTAGTCAGTAGTTATTTTGTCCATTTGTCGCTAGTCGGTTAACCCCATTCAGACCCTGAATCATACTTGTCTCAAGCATAGGTTTCATCAGTTCATAAAGTCATTCAAGACTGTAAATTCTTTGTTTTTAATCTCTCTCATGAATCTAACTGGTCTTGGTCTTGGTTTCCAAATGTCCACACTTTTAGTCGACAAAAGAACTTCGCATAGATCCCTGCTTTTTCCCATATTGGTCCATATTATTGAAGTATTTCCAATAAAGTATCATCTTTTTCTTGTTGTCGAAATATCAAAATAAAATCCTTTTTTCTAATATCACTTTCAAGATGGGCCTAAATTGCTTTTCATCTTCGCAAATCGATTTTCCGGATGTGCGGACGCGTCGAAGTTATGACAATATTTCTGTGCTGTTATTTCGCTCTTCAGTGGATTTTTTTCTTGTGATTAATTGTTCTAACTATTATCAATATGTAATATAAATGTTTAAGGAAACAATTTCGATTTTTCAACAAATACTTGGCGCTTTGTTTCCTTTTCGAGCGTAGTATGGGTTTCCTGTGGTGGTACACGGAATCCAGGACGGACGGAAGGACGGAAGGACGGAAGGAAACGTGCGTACGCGCGGGAACCCTGTGTCGGTCCATGGAAAATCGACTCGATGGTATACCATTTTTTTCTTAGCTATGGTGCTCCGCTCGCGCGGGCCTTCGGCCCGCTCGGGAGCTCCGCTATGATTGACATCAGTAAAATGCATGAATCCAGTAGGATTTTTCGTTTCGACTTCCTACATGTTATCCGTAACGGCTGTAAACCGAGGTGTCAAGGAACACTGATCACAGATCTTTTCTTTTATGCTCACTGAACCTTGACGCCTCGTTTCAATGCTTTGTTCATGATCACTGAACCTCTGAGTATGGAAAGTTGTGAATGAACACTATCACAAGAGAAAGATCACAAAAGAATTACAGTCTAACAGCTATGTTATGCATTAGTAAAAAGGGTGATACCTTAAAATTGCATCCAATATTGAGGTAATTGCAGGTTACAATTGTCATCGGACAGTCCATTTCGTGGTTCTGTGAAAAGCAGGAGTAAAAAAGCAACTTTTAAAACTAAAAACGTTTTTTTAACTCGTAAGAATCCTTTTTCCGCGACCAACTATCACAGCTAAATGCCCTCGATTCAGCTACTCTATTGTTTAAAATATGTAGTTAGCGTTCAGAACTGTCTATAGCTATTTATAGAAAGGTTGTCAGATAAAATGGCGAATGTCAATGGTCGAGCGGCGATTGCACGACCGAAAGTAACCATGGGTAAACATTGGCTTCATTTAATTACCATTTCTATGTAAGGTGAATCCAATAAGTGAATTTTTGTTTATGAAAGCAGTGCAACCATAGCCACTTTCAGTCGTGTAATCTTCCTTCGACAATCGCCGTTCGCCGTTCTCCCCGACAACATTTTTTTGAAATAGCTTTATAGTCGATTGTCAAAAGGTTGTCGTCGACAGGGTTTCACGAAACGCGACCAGCCAGAAGTGGTTTTTGGGTAAAAAACAATGAACTGGCAAATTAGAGATTATTTGAACGCCTTTGTGATTGGAAGATCGGACACATACATGTAATATTTGACAAATTGCCAACATCTCACATTGTTTTCCATCATGACGGGGAATTCATGGCCGTTATGACACATTTTTGGTAAAAAACGCACTATACTAGATGTTAGTTATGACTAATTTGCCAGTTCATTGTTTTTTACGCAGAAACCTTTCGAGTGGGTAGCGTGCTACAACCTTTTGTCAATCGATTGTATATTGATCAGCACTTTACAATACCTTGGCATTTCTCAGTTCTACCTGCCAATCACATTGGTTCGGACACTTAATCTTGAGTGAAAGAATTTGTCTTTCTGCTGCTAAATCGTCAAATACCTGCAGCAATATTGTAATGAATAAAAGATAAAACAAGATTTGATTTTGAGTTGTATATTAGTGGCTTCCTGTTGTCCTGTCTTTCTGAGATATTGTCTGTCGGTCTGAAGATATATAAATAATAAATAAATAATATTAAATAATAAATAGCATAACGTTAAATAGCATCCATGTCACGTGATTCATGTAATATATCGTATATCAATTATTAGCCGTTGTAGAAAATTCAAAATTGGGCTGTTTATCTGACGAGTGCCGTACAATTTCTGTGCGGTACAAAACACTATAATAAACATGCCTTTTTTGCTGATTTAGTGTCTCAAAACATCATAAATAATGTATATTTAATTTACATATTTGCAAATGTTTCCCATTAGTTTATGTCAAGGGAAACGTGATTTAACTGTAAGTAATGTGTGCATGATGTTTATAATGTACCCAACTGTAATACTAGACTTGCTATGATGGGATTCAGTTACTCATCAAGAACTCATTTTCACATAGAATGAATCATTATCACTAATTAGATCGTGTTTTTTTTTCATGATATTTATGCTGACACACCTAACTCTGAATGAACTTTTATATGTTGATGAACTATAGTACGCATGACTTCTTACGCTGCGCTCTGACTTTGATTACCTGCTGTGCAGTAAGTCGCTTGTTGTCCAGAGGACATTTTCGTTTTCTGAAACAAGAAAAAAGTGATTTACTAACCTTATCTTTTCAAGTCCCTTATCACAGGGTCTGAATGGGGTTAACCGACTAGCGACAAATGGACAAAATAACTACTGACTAGCGACAAATTTGAACCAAATTTGCTGACTACCGACATTAACAAATTTACTGACTGGTGACGTTTTCCAATATTCAAAGATGTTAGCTCCGTGAATACAAGATTTTTTTTATTTTTCAAGCAACTACATTCGAAATTTTCCGCGGAAAAAATAAATTTTGCTTCGGATTGGCTTCTTGAAGTTGTGATGAGCCAATCTAAAACTTTAAGGGCATCCAATTGACCAATCAAGACTCAAGGATTCAATTGTTGGCATTTTAGAAAGAATTCTGTTGGTATAAAGCACCGTTTTAGATGCATTTAATAAACTTAATGTTTATCAACTTTTTTTAAATAACCGACTACCGACAAATGCCTAGAATTTTAACTGACTAGCGACATTGAGACCCACCCCTTTATAGGCATCTTTTTCCTTGTAAAGTTTTTATTTTCTTTGCCTGAGAGGTCAACGTTTTAGAYATCATATATCACTTAGCGAGACACTTGTCTGAGTAGTTGATTTTATCAGTCAAAGCAAGCCACGTTCTTATCGCCGATTTAATTACATGACCTTTTAGGTCAAGTTTATTTTTAAAAAGTCTCAATATATTTTGCATATTTTGAACTAGACGCTCTTATATTAGACCGTGAGTTCGGCTGTTTTGGAAAAAAAAGTTAAGAAATATTTTTATCCAAATGTAATATCCTGTCTTTCTCAATTTTCACAAGCAGCTAGTCCGACTTCACGCTGCCAGAGCGTCTAGTTTAATATTTTCTACTTTCTATTGTCAATTTGAACTTTTGTACATTGCCACGCAATTCAGTCTTGGGACTGCTATGTGAAATATTTTACCATTATAAACTAACTAACTATAACTAAAGTTTATTTCTAAACTAAAAGAAATAGAATATAAACCCCCATCGATGATGAAAAGACGTCATTTTGAAGAGATTCCAACGGCAGTATTTAGGCTTTAGTCAGTATTCAAAGATATCATATGTCATTTTTTATGTTTCTTTTTTAAAATCAAATACATTAGAGACCCATTAGAAGTTTTCCGCAGAAAAATAAATTTTGCTTCGGATTGGATTCTTGAAGTTTTGATTGGCCACAAAACTTTGAGTGGCATTTCGGGTTAGGTTTTTGCGGGTATAACAAAACAAAACAAAGAAGAAATGTCGAATGAAAGACAGGCGTCGCTTTTTAAAATATAAAGAGAAACTAAAGTTCAGAGATCATCCTGAACTAAGATATATAAGAAGATTTTTTTGTAAGAAAATCACGGAAACCAGCTTTTTAAACCCGTTCCTGCCGCTGACCCGGTGGGGGGGGGGGGGGGGGGGGGGGGGGGGTACTCCCCCCAAACTTGGGTGGGGGTATGCCGCTGGTACATCAAAACCCTGATCCTGTTCCAGAGTGAAATCGCTGAAAACAATACCCTGTACCAGAGTAAAATCGCTGAAAACGATATCCTGTTCCAGAGAAAATCCAGCACTAGCCTAGTTCAGCTAGCCTAGCGTGTAGACCGAATTTTTACCCCGTGAATTTTTATCCAGCATCAATAATTCCGGAATTAAACCCTGACCCTGTTTCAGAGAAAATTCGTTGAAATCGATAGCTTGTTCCAGAGTAAAATAGCTAAAAACGATACCCAGTTCCAGAGTAAAATCGCTGAAAACGATACCCTGACTGGCGGTACGTCCCCGTATA